ACATAAGGGAAAACTAGATCTGAAGGCACACGGGACACGTAGGAAACTGAACAAAACACACAGAAAAGTCCAAGGCGTGACACTTGCATTACATAAGGAAATTGGACAAGCTCAGTGCAGATTAGTTTTTGCTAATTTTCATGTTTGGGTACCACTGTCTTTCTTTGTTGAAACAACACTGATTCATTCAGGAACGAAACAAGTGACCATTTTAACGAGCGCGAGTCACTGAATAATTCACTCAGCTAATTCCTTCAAACAGTACTGATATGTTCAGAAAAGAAAAGTGATTGTATTTATGAGTGAGTCATTGAATCATTCACTCAACCATTCAAACAACTGAGTCGTTCAGGAACACTACTACTGTGTTTTGATTCTGGCTTGGTTTTGTTTGGAATTATTTTCAAAAATAGACCAAAGCAAATGGCAATATTGTGTCTAAAATGTAAATGCGTACTTTTATAACATTGTTTATTGAACTGTTGTGTAAAAATACATTTACGTATTGCGCGTATGGCCCTAACATTTACATTAAATTTCAATTAACAAAGCCTGCCAGTGAGTTCACATACTCCGATTAACTGACTTAAGTTTAATTCTTGGATAAAAGACTCTATATACTGTAATATAGCCTATGAACACAATCATTACACAGTGTGTCGATAAATTTCAGACTCACGTATGGCTGCTGTGGCTGGAAACCCAGAGTAAGGACATGAATGACCTTTTTGTTTCCATGGACAAGAACCTTTGACTCTAAAGTATAAACCTTCTGATGTAGATGACTTGTGAATGTCTCCTGGAGGATGAGACTTTGAGGGAGAAACGTGAATGGTTGTCTGTTGGAAGAAGCAAACATAACTAAATACACTTGTGGGTATAGAGTAATACAGCACTGTGGATAAAGTCAGTGATATGTTCCTACTGCTGTCATCATTATCATTACTTCGTCCTTTTCATATTCCGGACAGACCTGAAGTTTAGCTTCCATCTTTTCTGATACATTTTCTTTTCCTTCCGTATCTCTTCTATGGCACCCTCCATCTGTAGCTCCGCATAAGAGTTTTTTAGATCCGACAGGGTCATTGCCATCATCAAAAGCCTCTTCTTTAGCTTCTGCTTAGACAGAAAAAAAACAATACAGTCCAGAATGGCTAACATTCATACAAACATGTAAAGATTTGGACTAGTACACATTTTGGACAACTAATTTTCTGGTACCTTATCCAGAGTACTGAGAACCGCAGAAATATTGAGGTCTTGCTTGCCACAGCCTGCACTTATTTCCAGAGTTTTCACTTGCTTGCCATTGACTACAGATATTTGCCCGTGCAAAGCTGGTGTCCAGGCTGTGCTGATGGAGCATGAAGCTTTAACTCCACGCTTGCCCAGCATGTTCCATCCACCAACCTTCAACAACACCAAGATCAGCACTTATCCTGAAGTTCCTCCAGAAAGACCATATGAACATTTCTGAGAGAAATACTCAAAAACTCTGAGTGAGAAGTGATAGAAATATGCACACCTTAATATAACTGGCAGTCGGTGTGAAAAGGTGCAGCTGGCCTTGTCGTTCTTTGCCCCTATGCTTGTAGAAACCCTCTAGCTTAACACTTCGCATGTTCACCAGTTTCCGTGTGGTGACCTCAGAGCTGAAATGCGTGATGCCACGCTGGGGCTGAGTTAGTTTTTGAGCTATGTACACATAGAGCCAGGGAGTATCCATGTTAAATGACCCTGTGGACATAATGAATGGCAAGCATAGTTTTACATGAACTAGAATATTAACATGAACTGTATAAATTCATGGCACTCTCTCAAATGGGCCATTTCCAACGAAACCTATAGAGTGCACTGCTATCAAATTCAGGACAACAAGCAGATAATTATTATTAGATTATAGCTAATAACTGATAAATGGCAGACACTAAATTCAATACTGTTTTGTTCAAATCAAAGCCCCCACCCCATATAGGCTTAGGTATATCTGGTATTTCTGCTGCAATTATGACAAAGCTGCTTGTTTTCAAACTTTATTAACAGAAATTGATTTACCATGAATTGTATTTATTTTTTTCAAAATGTCATTCCACATATTTCATGAACTGTATGTTCTTCAATAAAAAACATTTTATTGAGAGGGGAAAAATAAATATGATTCAAGTTTTGATGTTGATTTTGTGTTATAGTTTAATATATTAATAATATAGTTTTAAATAGTCACCCTGCGCCCCCTTGGAAGTTTGCTGAGGCCCCCTATTGGGCCCCCAGCCCCCAGGTTGAGAATCACTGGTCTAAATAAAGCTAAACTAAAACACTAAAAGCTATTTTCAATCACTTTAAATGTTACAAGTGAATTTAAGCATTACTAAATTATAATGTACATTATTATATGGATATTTTGAGATTTCCTACAGACTACATTTAAAAGTGTTATTCAATATTAGTATTTAGATTAACTAGATTAACTTTAGGTGAGCTTTAGATGACTGTACATTACAAAAAAAAA